ACACTGGGGACTTGTCTTTCACAAGAGGTGTTTCTCTTTTTAAGAAAATATACTTGTCATTTTTTCTGAACATTTAATGTTTTGTATTAGGAGTTTCCCCAGAAGAGAAAAAGAAAAGTCTATCTTCATTAAACACTAAGTATAAGCGGGGAAATTAAAACATTGGGATGTCATGACAGCTATATACATTGTCTTCTATGATGTCACATTTGATTTTCTTTTTTTATGACTTTGACAGCATCATATTAAAAAAGTGATTGCACAATGACAGTGCTGGCTTTGAATTATTCAGTTTATGAGTGCGCTCTTACAGGCAGACTGTTTTGTATTTCCTGCCATTCCTGAAAAACTGACATTTAAAAAACTGTGAAAGGAAAGGGAAAATGATTGCTAATAACTAATTAATAGCTCATGCTTGGCAAAGGTAACTTCGTTTAAATAGAATATCACACAAATTAAAACCAAATTAAACATAATATACAAAGTATTTCAAAAGTCACTTGAAAAATAATTCTCAGGGTGACATTTTGGACCCAATAAAATTGATAGCAAGACTCCAATTCAGTTTCGGTGGAGCCAGGACTTCCTCCTAAACAAAGAAAATCCCTACATTTCCAATCTGAGTTTAGGAACTATCTGTCAGAATTCTTGTGGTACTTAATTTAGTTAACTTTACCCATCCATTCTCTTAGAATACACTCCAGCCATTAATACTTACTGAGGTCAATGGGGCTTTTTCCATTTGACTGCCATAAGGGATCCAGAACCTTAAAGTTGGAACCTCTTGGGTAATTTTGACAGTAGTCTCTCAGGGTTTATACTGTGTATTTTCCTATCATGACTGGGTTTTGTCAGCTTTCATTTTTTTGCTCTATTTTAGCTCTCTATAATGTTAAATAAGTGCAATCTCTTGGTTCATTTGTATCAAGTAAGTTCAGCTATAACCTTTTTCAGAGTGTCCAAATTTGTCTTTTCTTCATTACAATTTAAGGTTATTTTTAAATCACTAAGGATATTTTTAAATCACTGAAGTTGGAAACATCTGCTCTCCAGCTTGATTAAATTCAGCTAGTCATTTCATATCATAACTATAAACCCAATAATGCCATTTTAACATGCTATTCCCAACACCTAAAATGAAATTTTAGTGGTAACAGATATGAAAATATCATTCGAAGTCAAACCCTTTTTCCAGTAAACCTGACTGTTATTTAACTGTTTGGTTTCATTTAAACTGTCCCTCACGGTATGTACATCATTCTTTCTTACAGGAATTATCTCAGCTGAGCTGTTTGGACAGGTAAGAACTATGGGCTTGAGTACAGCCCAGAAGGGTAAAGTGTAGAATATTCTATATGAGACATGAAATAGATCCTTCCAGCTATGGCAACAGGGAAAAATACAAATGATCTTTTCACATTCTGGTTGCTCAAAAATGGTTAGCAGATGTCTTTGAATCTGGTCACAACAGTGCCTAGGGAGACTCTCATCCTCTCATCTGATTTAGCTGGGTTCAGAATCATGACCACAGTTATATGAAGAAATGTGCTGGTATTCCCTCAGAAATATCTGAGGTTTATTCAGGAGTTTATTTTGTCATTAAAAATATCTATCTGGCTGGTGTTAATCTCTCTTCCAACATCTCTCTGAATTCAGTTTGAAGATGACAAGAGTGCCTGTTTTCTTTACAAGCAAGGAAAATTAGTTACGGATCACTTGCACTACATTATTTTAGTTCACCTATTTAACCTGAATCTAGTCTCTTTCAGCACATGAATCACCCTGGGACAGCATTTTCTCATTCTTAAACAAACAGTTACACACTCATCTTCCTTTCCTACTGATAAGCCAAACTTATTGCAAAATGCACAATTGGAAACAAGGTATCACAATTCCATAACATTTTATCCTGCAATATCAATATTAGTCTGCAAATATTATGTCTGAAATAAAAATGTGGGAGCTTCCAAGACAGAATCCTTCTGCCCTTATTATTTACTGCTTAACCTTTACTCAAGCAAAGTCCAGTTGAAGACAACAGATGGTACCTACACAAGTACAGAGTAAAAACTACAAAGTAATATAGACCTCTACCAATTTATTTCATATGTTTTTAAAACCCGTCCTCATCAAAGGCTTCATGGTTTAAATGCTGGTTCAATAGAACAGTAGTAACTACACTGAAATCAGAATCATTTTCCTTCACAACTGTTTGTGGTTTGGCTGACAACAGGCTGACCATCACAGGTGACAGAGAAACTTATGTCTGTAACAACCTCTAAATCTTATTGATTCTGGGTGCCACCAGCTGTGGCATTTAAAATGTGATGAAACCTTTCTGATCAGTATCATGCACATTCCCCTTCCTATTTCAAGAAAACTCATCATCCTGCAAGTACAGGAAAGCTAAACCTACAGAATTACAAGCTTTTCATTCTGCAAATGTTGTCCTTTACTTGTATGTAGAACAGCATGAATCCCTTTACCCAGGGCAATGCAGGACTAAGAAATCCTCTGTGAGAAAGGCTACAATGAAAAAGTAGAAGTGAAAAACAAACAAACACAAACAAAAAAAAACACCCCAATGTCAACCCAAGCAAAAACTCCAACAAAATTTAACAAAACCACGAATTGTGGAAAGAAAAAAAGAATGCTTTCCACCAGCCTCCGTCAGTTTTCAGTGTTATCACAGCACCAGCTTCTGGAGAAGGGAGTGAAGATTTGGTGTAAATTTTCTGTGCATACTTGTTGGCTATTTGGCAAAGAGGCAAAAGGTTGTTGCTTTATTTTTGTTTTGTTTTTCTTTTTTATTTATTTTCCCAAGGCAGTTTCCAGGTCTTTAACATTGCTCTGAGCCAGAGATGGTAAATAAAAGAAAGCAGAAGTGCTGCTGCCATAACAACCCTTCGACAGGGAACTATTGAGATACGGATAGCTACTACACTACCTACAACCACCCGTGTGCATCATGACACATAAAATCCAGAAAACGCTTTTCAGCCACAGCATCCCATCATTTGCGGGCTCTGGGCAGCGAAAGCAAAACAAGCACGGACTCTTCCCCCCGCCCCCAAGCTTCATTTCTTTCACTGTTTGTTGCAGGGAGGCTCAAAAAAAAGTCCATCCGAGAGCCGAGTCCCACCCGGAGCTGCCCCCCGTGGCCCGCGGGAATGGCCGCGCTCCGCTGCTCCCGGGGCCCCGAGAGGGTGAACCGGGACCCTCCGCCGCCCCCCGGGTGGTACTCGGGGGAAGCAGCCGGGCCCACCCCGCATTCAAATGGTCCCTCGCAAAAGTTGAAGAGCTGGCCCCCTCTCCCCCTAGCCCCCCCGGGAGGGGGGTGCTACGCACGGCGGCGTGGAGATGGGGTCAGGGGAGTCCTGGCCACGGCTGGGAGCGGGGCTGCCGGGGTGCCCATGTGCGCGGCTGTGCGTGTGTGAGACCCCCGCGGGAACGGGCAGCGGGGCGGGAGCCGCTTCCCCCGCAGCCCCCGGGACCGCGGGGACACGCCGGCTGCCCGCGGACCTTCCGCCACCGCGGGGGGCGAGGGTCTCAAGTCCGGGCCGGGACCCCCCATCCTTTGCCCCGGGGCGGTGGCAGAGGTGAGCGCGGGGCCTCCCCCCCCTCATCCCCGGGGCCGCTCCGGGATGGGAGGCGCAGGGAAAGGAAGAGAGGGGTGCACGGCAGGTGCTTTTGGAGGGAGGGGAAGCAGGGCCCGGTGACTCACCCGTCCGAGGCGGGGGCTGCGGGTAGCGCGGCGGCGGCGCTGCCCCCGGGGCGCGGGGGGCGGCGGAGCAGGAGCAGCAGCGGGCGCGGGAACAGGGGGGAGCGGCGGGGCCCGGGCTGCTCCTGGGCGCGCTCTCGCTGCCCATCCCCGGCGCTGCCGCCGTCGCCGCCGGAGGAGGATGCGAGGGAGAGTCAGCCCCGGGCGCGGGCACGCGCAGCGGCGGAGCGGGGAGGGGGAGGTGGGGGCGCGGAGGCGCGCGCGGAGGGGGAGCAGCTGGAGAGGGCGGGTGCTCGCTCCTGCAGCCCTCCAGCCCTTCATCCCTTCATTCTCCCTCAGTACTCATTTTCTCGGTCTTCCATCTCTTCTCCCTCTGCCCCTCATCCCTTCTTCCCACGTCTTCCCATCCCTGCATCCTTCACCCTTCCATCTTTCCATACGTCCGTCCTTCCAGCCGTTATCCCTCCATCCCTCGCCCGTCCATCCCGCCATTCCTCGGTCCGTACGCTCCCCCCACGCGGAGCCGCGATCCCCCCTTATGGTCGGTGTCCACCCCCACCCCCGTCCTCCCTCTTCCGCAGGGTGGCCCCGGAACCCCCAGAGCCGCGGCGGGATCGCAGGCAGCGCCGGTGGGCGCGGGAGCGCTGCTGCCCCCCGGCGCGTGCCCGCGGAGCGCCCACCCCCCCCCCCCTCCCGCTTTCCCGGTTCCCACGGGAAGGACGACCTGCTCCTCTGAAGGGCAGGAGGTCCCCAGTTCCCCCCCAACTCCGAGGGGAAAACCTGTTTAGCCCTCGCCCATCCTCTACTCTGCTCTTCCTTTTTTCCGTCTTTTTTTTCCCCACCCGGCAGCAGGAAACAAACCAGTGCTGTGGTAGGGAAAAAAGGCGGTAAACAAGAGGAAAACACACAGATTACGGTCATCATTGACTGTATGAGGAACGAACCATACACCGGAGTAGTTCTTAAAAGCAGTCTTTCAAATCTTCACCCGAAACCTAAAAGACTTCTTGGATGTTTATTTAGGATTAAGAGTAATGATTTTAACATTAAAAATAAAAGAAACAACATATCAAAGTGCACCGTGTAAACAGGAGACCTGTAAATCAAGTATGTCAAATAAACATGCACACCAAAGCTGGCCATCAACTCTTTATCCTTGCTCTGAACTCTCCGGGCATTATGTAATGTCAATAAACTGCTGCAAGTACATTTGAGGAAAAGATACAGCGACGATCATGAGAACACAGTGCTATTTATTAAAGTACATCAGTAGCCTTACCTGCCAAGTAGTGGCTTCAGAGGTTCATCTGTGTGTTTCTCATGAGCCCTCCAAGTAAACAATTTACTAGCTGCTCAGTGCAGACATATGATTCCCTGGTGTCAGTGTCTCTGTCCTAGACGTTTCTGAATGGCTTGTGGATTATTAACTTTCGATGCTCTGCTCTGCCTTGTACCAAGAGCCGTGCAGGTATCAACAGCTCCCACTTGTGAAGCCAGGGAAGAAAGAGATTGGGTAGTTTTCCACGCAGCTCCACATTTCCAACTGCTGATTTGCTGTATGGGCTACAGGCAATTAGAGAACCGGTCTGGTCTTCTAACAGGTTTATTCCGAAAGAAAGGCCTGACCCAAAGTTCACTAAAGACAATTACAAATATTTCTGCAGTCACGGTAGGAATTGGCTCAACCTACTGTGAGCTCATTGTTGGGGTTAACAAAAGAAGCCCTGCCCCTACAAACAGAGGGACTAAATTTATGGAAACATTATCAGTGGACGAACACAGGTTTCAGCGCTGCATGCCACTGTAAGAGCTAGCAAGCTAAGCTGGGAAAAGGAAAAAAGCCAAGCTGTGCACCTTTTTCATAAAATTGTTGAGAGAAAGCAAGGGATCTGCTTCTGCTTCCGCTTCCCTACAGCTATTGGCAAAAATACATACATGGCCAGAGGATGTCCTCTGGTTTCCACAGGCTCAACCAAGCCACCATATGCAGTAGCAAGGGGAGGGGAAAAGGGGATATTGTGAAATTATTAGATTCAATTCTGGGCATCTGCAAAGCCAGGAGGAGCAAGATGTAAAGTTTCATTTTAAGGTGCTGCTGCTCACAAGGAAATTCTCAACAAATTAATCTTTCAGTGGTTTTCTCTTCTCCGGTCTCAGTCTGGGGATTAGATCTGAGCACCCCTTTAACTTGTGGATTTCAGCCACTTCCCCCATACTTGCTGACTCCATCCCTTTTGTGCCTTCAGCAAGGGCTCTAGGCTAGTAAGAGAGATGTCAGGGAAGGGAAACCAGGCAGTGGGAATGATCTGGGTTTTGCATAGATAATGACATCTTAGAGTGAATACTTATCTAGTGTGAGTGGTACAGGAATTTGAGCTTTTTTTTCTTAAAATAGTTAATATGGGGTTTTAGTATATTTAATGCAGGTGTTAATATAGGTTGGTTTTTGTTTGTTTTTTAATCTGTAGTTGCTGATGAACAGCTCTAGTACGTCCAACTGAGCCCAGTGTAATAGTAGCCTGCTAGTTAAAGTGATTCCTGAGAAATGGGAGACTGAGTGTAAACATTTTTTTCCCTGAGATTCACAACAGAAAAAGAACCACTGAGGTCCCGTCTGTTCTCAGATGAATTACTTTAGTTCTCTCCTAGCTTTGACTACAAATTGAGTCTGCATCAAAGCAAGCACATACATGCTCACAGAATTTTTTTTTTCACCAAAATTATTTTGTTGGAAATTCGTCAGATCTCCAGGAAATTACAGGGCTCGCTTTAGATTCCTGCATACTCTTTATATGTATGTGCAAGGATTTGTTTCTGCACAAGGATTTATCAAGATTTTCTCTTTTTTAATTATAGCATTATTTTGTTTATGAAGAATACAAGCATTAACCCTTACATTTCAGAGTCATTGTAGTGAGTTGCTTTATTCTTAGATACAAGATTGCATTTCTTCTATAAAACCTTTTCATGAAAGCAGTAAACATTTTTTCTCATTGGAGAGAATATGTACGCCTTTTGTGATTATACCATTGCTACATAAATTGCCTTTGCAAAAGCTGGATGCTGAGCTTGTCACCTCAGACTGGAAATGTGCTGTTTTCTGAAGGTTCCAAAACATATTTTCTGAGAGCACAGTTTGATAAAAGTTTTGATTCACATAATGGAAAATGTGGATATTAATAGATGCTTTAAAAGTAAAAAAAAACCAGAAACTGACTTTTTTAAAAGGAGAATATCGTAAAGGTCAAAAGAAACAGAACACAATCACAAAAATAAACCAAAATGAAACAATCCCCTCCCCTAACATCTCCGCAACTCCAAAAGTAGATATTTATCAAAACTATGTAAAACAGGATGAGGATTTGTTTTTTACCGTACGTGGTCTGAACATTTATGTAAGGCATGAATAAGAACATTTAAGCATTTACTAAAAACTTACATGCGGTACTGAAACACGTGTTCTTCCACTGATGATGTTTCCATAAAGTTAGCCCCACCAGTGCTTACAGGCGCAGGGCTTCTTTTGCTCGTTGGAGTCCTGTGTGCATTTCTCTATTTGTAATTGATTGTTGGCTTGCGAGTTAACTGCATCATTTAAAAATCTATCATCCTTTGGCTTACTGTACTTGACATTCGTCAGTTATGGCTTGCCTTTAATTTGGCCCCAATTCCTGGATTGACTAATGCCAGTACCTGATGCTGTGCAATCAGCCTTGATGACCTTGGTGCAGTTTGCAGGGTTGTGGGACAATGAATAGGATCCTAGATCCAGAAGGAAACTGTGTTGTACAGTAGGAGTTGAACCCAGGCTGAGGCTTTGGACATGATTAGTATAAAAAATAACACAAAATATTACTAATATTTGAATCCGAGGAAGACTTGTATGTTCTCAGATTTTACTTTACAGCAGGTTGGACACATTTAACTCCAACACACAAGTGGTTTGAGTCTCCATTCTTAGGTGCATTGACAGTATCTGCTACTGCCTTCATTTTAGAGAAAATAAAATAAAGCACTTTAAAAAATATCTTCAACGTAGCTAGTGGGCTTTATTATAGCTTTCATTAATTCACCAAATATTTTGTTTGCTTCATATGTTTTATGAAGGAAAAACAAAGATTAAGTGAAATTACATAATCTACGGTAAACTAGGGTGGTTTCATGGTTTGAGGGTTTATGTGTGTGTGTGCATAGTGCCGTTTTTATTGAGTAAAGCTTTTTGCTAAATAGCAGTTTCACATTATACAGACAAACAGATTTAAAATTAAATGCTTTTGCACTATGGCTCATAGGACTGATCCTGGAAAAGTGTTGTGCTGTAACAGGCCAAGATAAAGCAAGGATTTCCTTCATTAATCCAAACTGGTCTGGGGTGCCACTACCTATAGAGACATACTTTTCGCATTCAAGTATCAATCTCCACTGAGGACAGCTGTGAAAAGTACAGCTTCTCTAGTTAAGACTTTCTGTCATGAATTTCTTCATTTTCCCATACCAAACACAAAGAAATTTACTGGTAAGCTTATATCATCTAGTGAAAAATGAAACAAAGAGAAGAAATGAAATACAATTGCCCCTTTTCCATTACAAGAACAATTTAAGAGAGAGAAGATATCATCAAAAACTGAACATAAAGGAACTGGTATAACTTTCTTCCTATTTCAGTCAAATGCAAAAGGGACAAATAATGGAACTAAGGAACTTCAATATACTTACAGGTTATCATGATATGCAGTAAATCTTTACAGTTCTGCTCTCCAAGGAGATTCTTGGGTAAATAATAATGACTTTGGGCTCTTGGATTAATGAAGATGGATGTACTGAGAAAAATCTAATTATGTATTTCTCCTGCCTTGACTCTTATCTTGAGTGCCAGTATTATACTGTTGATGCTACATATATATATACATATCTATATATATTCCAGCAGTAGTGTACTAAAATTAAGCTTAATGCAGGAAAAAAGGAGCATACACACATCAGCAGATTTCTTTCTTTAATAATTCAATATTAAATCTGTGGATTTTGGAAATAAAGAATGTACCATTTTCTTTGAACGTTGGCTAGTGTAACTGAGTCAATACAGCTACACTGCAACCTCTAGTCTGTTCTGTGTATCGTCAACACGGTTGTTCACTAAGGACCATGTCTTCACTAGGAATGATTTAAAAGTATTCCTATAGTAGTGTACCACAGCAGTAACTCTTTCTAGTAAAGATACAGCTTATCTTGTGAAAGATAAAATAATATTGCATACTTTATTTGGTTACCTCTGAGTTAAACAAGCTAAACAGCTGAGCAAATTCAACTGCTAAAAGATCTAAAGCTCCGGATTTTATTATTTTTGTTTTAAATGCAAGTGGGTTTACAACAGCAGTTTTTGGAAGATATTGTTATATCAGTGACTCACAAAGCTATGTCAGCAGAAGTCTACAATGTAGGTATAGCTTAATATCAGATTGATACAGACAGCAGAATATTGGAAATGTTATTGGGCGCCTCACTGGAAGAAAATATCTGAGGTCCCAGCTTGTCTGGCAGTCTTTACTGCTAACACTGAGGGGAAAGAAATACACCCTTTTCATGCAGAGCCCAGTCTGGTTGGGCAGAGCCTACAGTTACTTAGAAAAATGAGCATTTTTTATGTTGGTTCTGTCTATATGAGACAAGCTATTGGAGACAAGCAAAGCATTAAACTCCACAGTACCCATTTTTACAGTGTCCTTAGAGGGATATATTAAACTTTAAAAGTCTTTTCACCCACGTGAGAACTAATCCTCTGTTCTCTCTTTGTGTTTTTCTTCAGAATTCATTACAATGGTTAATGATTAATTTTAGATCTGTCTTTTTGTTCTGAGGTCTTCTCTAACGTTTCTGGCTTCATTCGCCTGGAAGGACCATGAGCTGTTTGGAGTCACAAACCATCTATTTGTTTCACATTTTAAAGTGTGTAGGACAACAGAATCATGGTCCACCGGTATGGTTCCACATAACAGCTAGTAATAATGAGAATGTATTGGCTCCAAATCCTGTATTCACATAGGCTAGACAACTGGGAGGTGTGAAAAGCCTCAAGCTCCTTTGATGTAAGAAAAATATGCAATGGAGTAAGAAGCGGCCGTGAAAATTTGTGTATACAGGCAAGCCAAAGTTAGTAGCCCACAGAGGGATCTGAGAAACTTCTTTCATGCTGACTGCAGGAAATGTGGTGAAAAATCCCTACTTGGTGCTCTGGACACCTCCACCTTAAGTATGTATACAGTCAAAGATAATTTAATGGTAAGTTAACGTTCAAATCTTTGCAAATTTGCAGAGCAAGTAGAATATTTCAAATTGTTTATGCTGGTTGAAACTAAATATATAAAAGCATTAATGTACGTTATGAATCAGTAGAGAAATGATAGGCACAAAATCCTCTTGCATCTAATAGATTGAAACTTCTAAGAAAATATATTTGGAAAAGTTTCAGGTTTTTGGTGAGGGCATAAAGTTAAAGAACAAGTTGGATAGTGATTACAGTTTTGAGTAAAATCCACATAGTAATGAATATATTTTGAGTACAGACAAACTCCAAAACTCCATTGGTGCATTTGAAACATGACCAGTCACACTGGCCATAAATATTCACAAAGTCTAGTTTAATTTACTTTTCTGAGGAAACACTTTCCAGAAACCTAGCAGCTATTACTAAAACCAAAACCAGAAGATCAGTCAAGATCTTAAAATCAAAAAGTACTAATCTGTATAATTACTGTTGTGGCTGTGATAGCCTAGGGACATAAGTGAGGCAAGGTCTCTGCAGGGAGTAAATCTCTCTTGCAAAACTAGCTAATGAATTTGGAAAAGAAGCAGTACTCCCATCCCACCTTCAG